CAGAGAGAAGTGGGGAAAAGAAGCAAAGATACTGTACCAGAGGACAGGGGCCCTCAGGGCCAGAAGGAGGAAGAGGAGGAGTTGCAGGAGAAGAAACCGCTGCCTTCACAGACTGCTCTTTAGACTCATCGCACCCCTGTTAGCAGGAGCCGAGTAGACATTTAAAGCATAGAAGAACAAGTTCAGAAAAGCAGTTAAAGGGGGAAACAGAGATAAGATATATGCTAAGTGTTTTTAAACTAAAAAGCTAGAGGAAAGTGGGAGTAAGTAAATGAGCATTGCTGCAAAGCCTTTGTGTGTACATGTGTGGGGGAGACATACCACAGGACAAGGCTGGTCCAGACCCGGAGGACCTTGTTCACCCTTCTGGCCCTTTAGACCTCTCTTCCCTACTGTTCCTCTGTCACCCTGGGAGTGATGAGGACAACAGTTACACAAATTCATACACTTATCACATGCAGCTAATGAAGACAGCCCATTCATACACTGGAAATAGTTTAAGCAGTTTAAGTCAGTCATTATTGTTGCTATGTTAAAAAACTGAAGGAGGAAGATGCGATAAGCTGGAGGAGAACTGAGGATCTGTTTGGACTTACCTTGTCTCCTTTTTCGCCTCGATCACCTTTTTCTCCCCTCAGGCCTGGGAAACCCTGGATACAAAACCACAATCCATAAGGGAACTTATTACCCAATATATGTTAGACTTTATTTAAACTGAAGATACTGTGATAAAAAAAATGTCAACATGTATAGTTCTTCTTAGTAAGAAACTCACATCAAGTCCAGGCTCTCCTAGTCTTCCCTGCAAATACACATTGAGAAAGATTTTTAAAAAAAATAATGAATAAACCAGCAACGAACAACAGATCTATTAAACACTTTTATGGAGGTTGTTGTGTCCTTACTTTCTCTCCCTTGGCACCAGGAAGGCCCACTAAGCCCGGAGACCCAGGTGGACCTTGGAGGCCATCTGATCCCTGCAGTAAAAGCACACATTCATCACTGCATCATGTCCAGTTCTTGAGCCATGACCAACACATTAGAATAATAATAAAGCCCATTATCACTTACTCTGGATCCAGGAGGACCACTGTCTCCCTTCTCTCCCTTTATCCCCACTCCTGGTTCACCCTGCATTACAGCAAAGCCACACTGAGTACAAGACAATGCATCATACAGCTGCCATCAGCCTCCCTCACATACAGATAAACGAGCTTACCTTAGGACCAGGCATTCCATGCAGCCCCTGTAGGACATTGTGTGATGTGAGTCTTTGCAAACTACAGACCTGACTGGACTTGTTTTATCTGAAATGATATAAAGTTATGCTGCAGGTACTCACCATGGATCCAGGGTGCCCAGGTATTCCCGGTGGGCCTGGTGGGCCAGGTGGGCCTGGCTGGGAAATCATCTGAACCTTTAGCACCAATGAAAAAGTGGAAACAAGAGGAGAAGCATATAAATTAAGTGAAAAAAGTGGTCGAGAGTTTCTCAGCTAAATTCAAAACTTTATATAGTCGTTCCTCAAAGTAACCAGAGAATTTCAGACTGTTTCATGTGTTTACTTCTTTAGATTCTCACTCATTTCCAAAATGAAAATCAATTGGAAAGAAAGTTAAAACTAGAGTAAAATCTACATCAATGAGTGTGAACATTATTCAGTTCTTTAAAGCAATGAAGCAGATGGTTCAAAACATGCAAATAACAAATAAATAACAATATATTTCCCTTTAAACTGTCTGTTTGGAGGTGCAGCAATCTGTAATGAACGTCAGAGGATTCATGTATTTCATACTCATACTAACCAAGTTGTCATCTAGTCTGCAGTCGCCTTTTTCTCCTTTCTGTCCATCCATACCCTGAGCCACAAAGAGCAGGATTAACTTTCAGCTGTTTTTAAAGTTGTCATCATTGTGTTATTAGCGAAATAGAGTCACTGTCGCTACTTACAGTAGGCCCAGAGAGACCCATCTCGCCTTTCTCTCCTCTCATGCCGGGAGGTCCTGTCTCACCCATGTCACCTTTGAGTCCCTGGAGATGAAGAAGAGATTAATAAGGCAGATGATGCTAAACGTCCCACTGACTACTATATGAAGTAGTGAAAGAAAAGGAACATGCGTCTGGGTGTAATATACTCTCTTTGTCGCTTTACCTTCTCCCCGTCAACTCCTGCTGGTCCAGGTAACCCGAGCTCACCCTGATGCAGAACAAAAAGAGGGAAGATGCACTCGGTGGACTAATATATCTGACTTTGTCTACAAAATCAGGTTTAGCATGTTTTGGGTATTTATCAAACAATAAATATCAGCCAATCACAGCTGTATGGCTTACCTTTTCCCCTGCAGGTCCTGGAGGTCCTGGCGGTCCAGGTGGCCCCTGGAGAAAAACAGGCAGAATAAAAGAAATGAGCACAAAGCTTTGTTGCATGACCTGTGTTAGACTAAATTAACCTAGCAGCAACTGATTTTCTGGTTTAGCTGATTACAGCTAGTCACCGACTTTGTGTGTCACTTGCTGCCGGGCTGGCGTGCTAACAACAGCTGCCTCTCTTGGTGGATAAAATTGCTCGTGCGAGCTGTGAGACCAAACTCAAACAGATCAAACCAAGACCTGAAAGCAACTATAAAGCTGTGGGGAGCTAAGGAGGTCTTTCTCTTACAAATAGTCATATGCATCACATAAAAATATGACACTATAACGGCTTTAATTAGAGCTGCAATTTTCAGACAGTCCCTTAGACATCTTCTGCATTTTTTATCCGCTCACTCTCACACTGTTTATCACAGTGAGGCTGGTAACTCATTATAAAAGGCCCAAATCGTGAACACAAAACGCTATAATTCACAATGTGGGCCTGACAGTAAACAAGTCCAAAACCTTCCTTCATTCCTTTTTGCTGATCACAACCAACTTGAAGCAATTTTTATCTTACAGAGATTGTAAAAGAGCTCTGAATGTGGTCTGTGCTACACAATAGCCTGGCACGGCTCTCTGTGATTGTCTGAATGATGGGACTGCTGGAGAAAACATTCATGTGACTTTATGTAACCCTAATGATGAATGAAGAATGGCGTGCATATATGTAATAGGCCATATTCTTCCCATGCAGCTCCGCCGTTATGCTATGAGTGATAGCTCTTGTAAATCACTCCACTTAATCTTTATATTCACAATGCTACACTTGTTATTCCTCCTTGTAAAGGCTCCGGTCATCTTGAAGCAATAAAAAGGAAAAAAGCCAAGTTGCCTCCCAGAGGTGTACGATTCATTTTCCAGTTTCTAACTTGTTGTTCGTTCTCAGCTTTTAAAGCCATAGAAAATGATGTTTACAAGCAACTATTTGATCCCAGACACTCCATCACTGGAAAGTGAATGCTATTCATCTGCAAAATGACTGACAGTGACAAACAACCCATCTTAGCATTGTTTTAAACCAAATTCATCATCACCTAACATTTCACAACAAGCACATGAAACGCTGCTTTTCACACAAACAAGCGATCAACTCACAAGGTGGGTGGCCAGTGAGCGCTACCTGCTCCGTGGAGCCCTGCGTGTGAATTTGTGCCAACTAATTCGCAATGGCAAATAGCTTCCGATAAGATCTCGGGTCCATGCTTTCACCAATCCCTTTGCAACATTCTTATATTGCTTGTATTGATTGTTGCATGCAGGAGCTCAGCTCCAGGGGGACCTGGTTCATAATTGTTTTAAATCAAATGCATGCTCCACTTCTCAGAGAGCCATCTGCCAGTAGCACGTACTGCGGTGTACAGCGGGATCAAAGAAGCTGGTGTCTGAAGAGAGTGATGTGAGACTGTGTTGACAGTGAGGCGCTCCCTTCTCTATGTGCTAGCACAAAGTAAAACACACCATGCTGCCCTGTAGCAGGTTTCAAACACATACTTTTCACATACATGCCATAAAAACACAGAAGGCTTTTGATTTTTCTGCATAATTAATCAAAGCTCTTTAGGCTGCATGTCATCTGATAGCACAGCGGTGCTTTATTTGTAAGGGCTGTGCTTTTTTTTCTGTCCCAAACAAATACACAAGAGACTCTGGAAAACTGAGACACTCAGTAATGCTCTTTAGATGTGGCCCCTAGAGTGACATCCAATACATATGAAGTCCAACACTCTTTGTTGAGGGCATCTACAAACACAAACAAAACCCATTAGCAAGAGAAAGCGGGCGATGCAGTAAATACACAAGAGATGCTTAGATGCAAATCTGTGCATTGGTGTTAGTTACTGGTCACACCGCCAAAAACATGCAGCAACAGCAGCAGCAGATTACCGAAACACTGATGGTGTTGATGGCCTGTCGAGGAGAAATGGCGACATGTTCAGTTTTTGGTTTCTTTTTACCACACTGCCAGCTCTGGTGTTATTTACTTATTTACTTGTTTTGAAAAGCTCTGCCTCAATCCTTATGTGGAATTCAGTCATAAGTGGCTGAATGAATCGGGTGTCGCTGACACCGACACTTGAATATGACTCACCTGCAAAGCATCTAGAAGCTTCCCATTGAAGTCGATGATGTCTGAAGCACCCGGGGTGCCCTTCTCACCAGGAAAACCCTGAGGCAGAAAAAATAATAATGTAGGAATATTTTATATAAATGTATATAAATGTAGAGATGCATAGATGGCTCAGCATAATAGCAGAAGGACAGAGTTGGCCCTTAAGCATAACAAATAACATACCATGGCTCCCTGTAGTCCTTGCTCTCCTCTTTCTCCTTTGTCACCCTGTTTGCACCATGAACACCATATTATGGTAAAACTCTTTCATAGCATAATTGTTAGCATTATTATTGATCATTATTATTTCAAAAACAATTTCAGATATGTTTCTTACCTTTAATCCTGGAAGTCCATCCATGCCTCGCTCTCCTTTTACTGCATTCCCAGGCTCGCCCTGTTTAAATGCACATTAAAGGTTAGAAACATACTTAAAATCATCCATGTCAGAGACATGAGAGTGGTAGAGTAAAGCTCGGCTTTACCTTTTGCCCCGGGACACCCTGTTGTGGATAACCAGGCTGCCCATCTTCTCCCTAGCAATTCAAAAGAGCCATTAAATGCAGAGAGAGCTACATATCTGGCTATATTAAAACAGCTTTTGAGCCCTTTGATGGCAACACCTCAGTTAAGATCAATAGTTTGTTAGCAGTCTTACCGGCCTCCCAGGCAGTCCCTGTGGCCCCTGAGGTGGAAATATATAAAAAAAAATAAATTATGAATTTTTCAGACAGTCAAATTATTCCGACTAAAAAGACTCCAACAGCAAAAGCCAAATTGCTTCAGCTGTAAACCAAACAAAATGCGAAACAAACTCTTAAAGCTTAGTGTGAACTCTGCTCACCTCAGCTCCATCGCGACCAGGAAAACCCTGAAAGGACAGAGGAGACATTTAATGAGGTGAATCTACTTCAGGAACATGAATCTTTTTGGCCACTAGATGTCACTTTTCAATAAGGCATTCAAGGCAGTCTGTAGACTTCAGCTCCTTCAGCACGAGCTGGACTGTTTAGAGAATAATTACAGGAAATGGATGAATGATGAGCAGAGAAAAATAACAAAGACAGATGCTTCAATACAGGCCACAACTGGTTACCTAATGCATGGATAAGCAGGAAAATTCTGAAAATTATGCTCTTTTGGCCTTTCCAACAGCCAGATGTAAACCCAACTTCGGTCTAACTTGTTGGACAGCGGTGTTCCCGTGTCAGCAGTGATGATCAATCTTATGGCGTGTCGACCTCCCCAAAAAGGGTTCAAGAGACTTGCAAAATGCCCCTTAAGAACGCATTAAGAGAGTTTTCTTTCTTTGCTTTGACGCCCATTCATACAAAAGAAGACTAAACAAGTTTTATTCTGTTTGCAGTTGGATTTGAATTTGAAGCCTTCAAACTGAAGTCTGTGTTTGATGAGTGTTAAGCCAGTGAGCACAAACTTCTATCCATCAATGAGCTAACATATTTTTTATTTAGCTAAAAAGATCTTTTTTAGCGACTGTCTGCGATAGCCAGGTGGAAGCAGCTAAACATCTGCTATGAAGTCATTCATGGCGGAGACAGCTTAGAGGGCTCTTGTGCAAGAGCCTCTCTCCATTGCTTCCTCACACACAGATACACACACTACTATCAAGTAGTTGTGTTTACTTGATCGGCCAGTGGACCCTAATAAATGCACGATATAAATTGAAGGTTGTTAGCCTTCCATTCAGTAATATGCAGAAGCTGATTAGATATTCTCCAGCTGGCCAGCGTGCAAAAAGTGTCATCGCGATCCTTCCTACTGTTTTCTGGACCCGTTTTACTTTCATCATTTTGGCACTGCTCTTTCTTTCTCATCATATTTCCTTACCAACATCTATCCATCCATACATTCATCAATCCACCCGAACCAACCAATTGCCAATTAACTTGACAATTATCCTGTGGGAAGCCATGCAGGCAGAACATATAGACCCTGCTGATTGGAAGGTTAAAACCCAGTACCTTCTTACTTTAAGGTGACAGAGCTACCCAACAGCATGAGACACTTCATTCTATATAACAGATAAAAAACGAAGGAGGTTTGAGTACACCAGGGCTGGCAGTCTCGCTCACTTTCTCCCGCTCGGCCCTCTTAGACATCTGCCTACAACATGGAGTGGCTCTCTGCAGGCCTCTGTGCTTTGTTTTGCTGTTTTGGGGTTTTGCAACTCCTTTAATCAACTTGAAGAGCACATTTGCAATCGACTAGGTTACAGGATGGGCCCCCTTTTCTCTTCGACCCGTCTGTTTTTTGTCATTTTCTGAGCTGCGCTGGCTTTCCCTGCTGTTGGTTCAGCAGTTCTCAAGTGACCCACACCGAAACCAACATTTTTCACTTGAATCCCTTGCTGTCCTCTTGTGCCAGTTGAGGGTAACAGCGCATTCATTCCTACACTTGAATAAACAAAAATTACCTTCATAGTCTCCTTCTCTTCAATTCAATAACCACAGCTGCAAGTTTTGCTGCATCTGAACTAGACCCTGGGAAGCAAAAAGTTAATTTTAAGAAACGAAAACGGCCACAGGCGAGGAGTGTACTATTGTTTGGTGAGACCGGCAAACTGCCCATGAACTCACCACAGTGCCATATCAGTTTCAGCGTGCACAGCAACACAGTTGTGGTAGGAGGGTGGGAGAATGTGGATTTGGAAAGGGGGGGTGTTGGAGAACTTTGTGGCCGCTAACTTACACAAAACAGATGAGGCCAGGAGTAGACTTGCTATTCTGGGACTTCTTTAGGTAAGCCACAGCATGCTGGCAAATCCCAGAAAAATGAGAATAGGGGTTCATTGCCATTTGCTGTGTACACCCTTACCCCTTAAATATATGTATAGGATTCCACATTTACAGGTTGGAGCTACACAGTTTGCAATCTGTCACAGTGTTGTGGTTAAAGAGTATGATGGGAGTAACAAAGCCACTGATGACTGAGGTGTTCTAAGTGGCTGCAATGCTTGTGGTGTAACCTTAGTTTGACAGCCAGAAGGGATGGAGTAAGAGGAGATCTACAGTGGGGGTGGGAGGGCATTGTTTTGTTGAGTCAGTGTGGATTTGGCTCTTGTACAGTACTGTGCAAAAGTCTTGAGTCATCCATCATTTCTTCATATTTTACAAGGAAAATGGGAAATACGTGCAGTGATTTATTGAAACGTCAGCAAACACATGGAAATACTGACTTAAATACAAGCCTGAAAGTCAATATTTGGTATCGCCACCTTTATTCTTCACACAGCCTGAACTCTCTTAGGCAGATTTCTTGTCATTTCTTTAAGCAGTCTTCAGGAATAGTTCTTCAGGCTTCTTGGGGAACTTTTGTTCTGTTTTCTGTCAAGATGAGCCTACACTGCTTCGATACTGCTGAGGTCTGGGCTCTGAAGAGGCCAATCCATGACTGATAGTGTTCCACTGTTTGTTTTTCTATCCAGGTATGCTTTTACTGGGCGATCGTGGCTCAAGAGTTGGGAGTTCGCCTTGTAATTGGAAGGTTGCCGGTTCGAGCCCCTGCTTGGACAGTCTCGGTCGTTGTGTCCTTGGGCACACACTTCACCCGTTGCCTACTGGTGGTGGTCAGAGGGCCCGGTGGCGCCAGTGTTCGGCAGCCTCGCCTCTGTCAGTGCGCCCAGGGTGGCTGTGGCTACAATGTAGCTTGCCATCACCAGTGTGTTAATGGGTGGATGACTGAATGTGTAAAGCGCTTTGAGGTCCTTAGGGACTAAGTAAAGCACTATACAAATACAGGCCATTTACTGCATTTGCAGTGTGTTTGGAATCTTTGTCATGCTGACAAATGAAGCCATTGCCAGTCAGAAGCTTTTCAGGTTTTTTTTTTGCATGGAGGATCAAAATCTGACTCTACTTTGCATTGTTCATAATGCCGTCTGTTTTGATGAAATCCTCAACACCGCTGGCTTAATTGCAGCTCCGCTGTGTTTTACAGATGGCTGTAGACACTAACTGCTGTTCCTCTCTGCTGACCTCCTCCGTACATACTGACGATGATCTGAACCAAAAATGTCAAACTTGGTGTTACACCCCGGCCTAGGCAACCGGCGTGCAACTTCCACAAAAATAATCCCAAAACGAGATTTAAAGCAAGATACGACATTTATTTACATCACCAAACACAAGGCGCCAAACTATTTACAACGGGGGGGGGATCGCGACCATGACATACAGAAACACAGGGCTTAAATACATAGAAGGAGCAATTAGGGAATGGACCACAGGAGGGATACACAGCTGGGGCAAATAAGACCTGACGAGACAAGGAAACGTAATCTGAACACTAAGATAACACAGACTTTCAAAGTAAAACAGGAAGCACATAACAGTCACGCCAAAACAAAACGCCTAACACAATACACTGCCAACGCCGAACCGTAACACTTGGACTCATCACTCTATACGACATGTTGCCATTTATTTTCAATTAAGTTCTTGTATAATTTACCTCAGCCGTTTTAACTGTTTTTCTTTCTTAAGAATGGCTTACTGACAGCCACCATTCGACTGAGACCATTTCTGATGAGTCTTCAGTGAATGGCTAGATGCGTCTCTCAGGTCCTGTGCCAGGTTTGCCTCAGATTTTTTAAGAACACACCGCACACCATGCTGGGATATGCCAAGTTTTTAGCTAAGAGCTCTTTAGAAATCACCTTGCTAGTTCAATTTTAGAAATTTGAACAAATGGTGTTTTTTTTAAATTATCGGTCAGGTAAAAGGCCTGCTCTGAAAATAACTGAAAAAGCAGTCAATGTCCACAGAAGAACTTTGAAAGACCTACAGACAGCCTGGAGAACTGTTGCTCGAGACAAGTCTGGCTCCTTAGAAGCCAAATGTAAAGAAACGATGGCTAGCTCAAGAAGAGGGGTAGAGATAAAAAGATGCTCTTACTGGCTCTCCGGGAAGACCACGAGGTCCATCTTTTCCAGTGTTCCCAGGGGGGCCACGGGGACCTGGAGGACCTGGGGGACCGGGAGGACCAGCAGGTCCAGCCTGACCCTGATCACCCTGATAAAAAACAAGAAGAGGAAAAAATGAAAAAATAAACTACCAACTACAAACTTGTAATAAATACATTATTAAGTACACACGATAACGTAATATATTAAAATAAAACTCCTTAAACGCCCCCATTAACTGATTTGTTTTTGGCAACAGAAGCAAACACTGACATGCCAGCGACCTGTTAAGGTTATACGGCAAACATCAAAGAACTACCCCTCAGCTTCTGCAGCTGTCTTTGTGGGCAGTCAAGGTGTATAATCCTTAATCTGTTTATTTATTTGCCCAACATTTATTTACAGTTGCCTTTCTCTCCACCTGATAAACATGACTGCAAAATTCCCTCGTATTTTAGACCCCGTCGAGTTTCCTGAGAAAAATATTTGGTTCTTTATCTGCTAAATGCTCCACATATGTTTAACAGCTAGTTGAGAACACTGTTTGCTGTTTGGTGCTTGAGAGGAAACGCGGGGGCCTACAGTTTCTTTCTCTTTTTGATGCAACGACTGCCAGGAAAGAGCAGTGAGAGAACAGAGAGTGAAAGTAAGAAAACAGGGAGATAAAAGACTCTCCAAAGTTCTGTAGAGCTGAGGGAAACTGCAGAGTTGGGTGATAATTATCTGTGTGTCACCGTAAGCCACGGATCTCACAAACACATTTATTAAGAAAAGCTTTAAATATGCTTTGTGCTATGAGCAGAAATCCCTCAAACTTAACTTGCAATTACTGGCATGCAGCTGGTTAGTTAGTGTGGTTTTGTACCAGGGCACTGGTAATAAAGGACAACAGCAGGAGGAACTGGCCAATAAGAACAGTTTTTATCTGGTGAGTTAGACTGACATTTCAAACAAATCCATGCTGGCAAAACAACTTCATTTGTAAGTGAAAAATACATCTGATCACTGGATTTATACTGCGTGCCATCTTTTTTTACTGAAAATTACCACCATCCCACTGCCTATTTAGGCTAAATTAGGCACCAGTTTTGTCTCCACTTTGATGCTATTCTCCCATCCCTACAGACATGTGGTGCATTATGGTTTGCTTTGTCAAAAACACTTTCATGAAAATGATATAACCAGTGCCTTAAAGCAGACTAGAACCTCATTCCTATGCACTGATAATTATTATGTCCCTGTTAGGCTCGAGCTTGAACCAAAGTGATGAAGTGATGTCGACACTGAGGAGTAAGATTAACGAGAACCGCACATTTCTACAGTGTGGGTGGCTCATCTTCCAAAGATGTTTTCCTATGTTTCAAAACGCTTTGGAGCTCTGAATATAAACACTTTTAATTAATCATTCATGGCAATACATTTTTAGTTGACCAAAAGACAAGAAACACGAGATCAATTTCATGCAACATGACTGAAGAATGTGGAAAAAGTGGGAAAGAAGGGAAGACGCTAGTCAGAACACGAAAAGGAAAAGCGGGTTAAAGTGTTAAGGAAACAAAAGAAAAAGCACACATGCCTTTTAGTTGTGGTCTACCTTCAGAAAGAGTCTCTGAAAGCTGTTGGTCGGCTCTCGAGAGAGAAAGCCGTGGTCAGTTCTGGGGAAAACCATCTACGATGCAAAGGGGTGCACCAGTGATGAAAAGAAAAGAAAGGGGAGAAAACAAGGAGAGGGGATACAGAAAAAAGAGAGAAGAGGACATGGAGTGGATTAAAATGAGTGCGAGAAGAGCGTCAGTTACATAAGTTGGAAATCAGAGGTCCGCTGTTAACCGTGAGTCGAGAGTTCATGAAAACAAATGCTGCAGGAAAAACAGATAAGAGTTCAACAGCCTCTTAAGCTCTAAGCACAAAGAAAGGAGGGAAAAACTGCAAGAGAGGTGTTTTGCTCCTCTGTTTGCAGGGATAGCGGTAGCTCGGCAGTCCGACAGCAGTTCTCTAAGAGGCACAAACCTTAACAGTGAGAATCTGATTACTGTGCAGGCTTGCATGTGTGCCGTACATAGGAGGACCCTGAAGAGAAGAGGAAAAGGTGAACAAGATAGCGCAGCATTACAGTCATGTTTGCAGCTGTTTCAAATCGATTTATATATGCAGTTAAAAACCCATCAGGTGCAAATAAAATGCATCATCGGCAAATCGTGAGACAGACATCCGTAAAATCTGCAAGTAAGGCCCAATAGCTGTCTTTTGACCCTTGAAAAATCATTTTGGAGTAGCGTGTGTGTGTGTGTGCGTGCACAACATTTAGTGCCTTCCGATCATTCCCACTGTGACCAAACAAAACAGTGGTGGTTTGGCTCTTTCCAGTCAACACAGTAAATGTGTTGATTGTCTGTCAGGCTGAAAGGAGCAGAGTTTTCCTGCTGCCGCAGAGCCTGGAACACTGTGTCGCTTCTTTGGTTCAGCTCCCTCAAAAACACAAGGGAGGGAGGGAAGGATGGGGAGAAGATCTAAGGGGGGGGGAGTGACAGAAGAAGAAGAGCTGCTAGAGAAGGTTCTGCTAACAGGCTCTGGTGAGGGCTGGATGGCTGAGGTTTTTGCACCACCGCAGACTCCACCTCCTCCTCTCTGGGCCTGTGCACCCCTCTCTGCCCACTGTCACAGTCGCTTATTCACACCGTTCCCACCATGAAGACCACTTATGCATATGCTCCTTAAACACTGCATAAGAGAATAGACTGTTTCATGGTGGGTTTCCCCTTTACATTGTTCTCATCAGACTTAAGGCTGATACTAAGACAAATGGCCATTCATCCCTGGAGGCCCGTCTCACTATGGCCTGTTTGCAGATGCTCTCAGGGAGGCAAAGGCAGGATTTGGCAGGGGATCAAACTCTCATCAGAGCTTGTCTTTCAATACAGCCCCCAGATGAACCTAAACATGCAGTGACAATGTCCTCCGTATGGATTTGACTGTATGGAGGCTTGGGAAAAATAGCTACCAGCTTTACTCCACTCAACAAAAAGTTGCTTTGGAGAAAGACGCAACGCTATACATGACCTTTTTCTCACATGATTTTGGTGGTTCTTTAACATTTTGTTTTAATAACCCTGTTATCCTGTTTTGGTACCCTGGTCTAAGACCAGAATCAGCCTGGAAGAGGCACTAAAAGTGATGGACTGACAGGAAGCGGCACATTGACGGAGATTTGCGGTTGCTTTCTGTTTTCACACATACGCTTATCTGCCCGTAAAGGTCAAAGCTGAACCTTTGAATACAGTTTTGAAATCCCAGTAAGGTGATAAATGAGCATATTTAATGACCTGAAGACAATCAGACTGTTAAAAATAGTACTGAGCAAGCAAGAGATTTTTGTTTTCTAACCCATCTACAGCCGTATCTGTGACAACCTATATGAGGGAGCCAAACCTCATCCACATCTACAGTAGCTTTAGGAGCTGTTGGGTTTGATTTGAACCAAGCTTGAGGTTTTTGGGGCTGCAGATTTATCCAGGGACATCAAAGCTGCAGAGGCCTGGGCCAAGTGCAATATTTATCATTTGGAATAACTATGTAATGCGAAATGCCAAAGGAGATTTAATTCTTGCACAAACTATCTGAAAAGATAGGTGGGGAAATCAAATGGCTTACGCCTTGATAGAAATCAGGAATTTCTGTAATTTTTTGAACCGCATCATAAATACTGTTCCGTTGAGTAGCACATCATATTTACTCTCCATTTAGCTTTTGGTATAAAACAGTAGCCAGTTTAACTCCAATAATCGTAGACTCTTCTGTGATTCCATTACTGGGGTTCAAGTCATAGGAGATGTACTTCCACATTTCTAATCTACAATCCATGCACTACCAGACCTAGGATAAGCAGTTGAAAATGGATGGATGGACAGATCGAAGGATATTGGTGGTAATAAACACAAGAAACGAATGGCTATGAGAAGATTTTAGAGCCATTAGAAACATGCTTGTAACACATTTTCATGTTCATCCCTACTTTAAAATTCATGTGAAGAAGCGGCTTTATGTGGCATTCTGATCTAAGCGCTCTAAAAAAACATTCATGGGTATGTGACCTCTTTAAAGATTTGAAACTGTTTACCATGTAAAGAACAGAGGTTTTATTTTCAAACCACACTAAATGAAATGGGAGCTCTCATGGAGGGAGGAATGATATCAGATGAAAAGGCAGCACTGACAACATAGACCAGATGCAGGGTGAGGTTTCTCTGCAATGTTAAAAAAAAGTAGCTTAGCTTGGGTAAGAGACGGGAGCTCTGGCACGCCGCCCCGACCACTGAGGTAACATGGTGAAGGTTTAATGTTTGCTAATAACGTCATTTCTCATGTCTGGCTTTGGCTTTGGAGATGGGCGACTCCAACCTCGTGTGCTGTTAGTGCAGTTGTGTGTGGGGAAGCCACACTAGGTAAACACACGTTTGCTTTTGGATTATTAAAATGCTTTGTGTATGCGTTTTATAGACAGACCGAGACTTTTATCCTTATTTATCCAGATTTTTCCCGCATTGTGATAACAAATAAACTGTTTAGTGGTTTTCAGATGACATAAACACTTCAGTCTCCCTGACATTTGATTTTCAGTTTGTGATAGCAGACTAGAAACCAGCTGAGGAAGCTCTACAGTTATAATGAAGCTAAAATACACTAAGCTAATTTCAAGCATAGCTTTTAAAACTGGTGGTTCTGTCTCACAAAAATCATATAAAAGGAGCGTTACCACTCATCTCAGACAGCAGCCAATTAGCATACAGACAGCTCTGCATTGGGAAAACTGTAACTCTGGCTCTACTTAACAGAATTTCTATTTACTGACTTAACACATTAAAGCGTTGCTTCACATGCAATAGCCAAATTTCTAAAATGTCAAGCGTCTGTTTTTCTCTTTAACTTCAATAGGACTGTGTAAAAGCCTCAAGTTACCCGTCATTTCTGTAGGAATCACCTCATTGTGGCAAAAATGATATTTTATGTCTGTCAAACTGTGTTATCTTTGGCAGTTTTCATCAATTCAACTAAAGAAATGTGAACAAATGATGTGTTTTGCGACAGGCGGCTAATAACAAATTGCCTAAGCACACAATCTAAAACTGGTTCTCGGTCCAGTGTTAAGTGGCTTGACAAACAAACAACATCTGGACTGAAAAATGAGTGAAAAGGCAGCCAATGTCCAAACAAAAACTTTGAAAGATCTTTATAAAGCCTTGAGAGCTATTGCTCAAGACCACTTTAACAATGAGAAGACAGTCTGGCTCCTTGGAAGCGAAATATGATAAAAATGAAGGTTGGCTCCAGACTTTTGCACAGTACTGTATGTCCTTTGTTTCAGTCGAAAGGAAAGTGCGGCTTATGACCTTTAAAAAGGGTGAATGTTTAAGAAGAACACTAACAGACAAAAATTCAAAATAAAAGGAGAACAAAAACTGGAAGTAAGGTTTAAATGGAAGGTAATTTTTAAATTACACAGAGAAAAAAAAACATATAAAGGACAGCATCTTTTCTCCAGAGTCAGCTGCAGTGAGGACATAATTTCCAAAATGTGCATATAACAGCCAAAAACAACATATTTAACCTTCTCTGATGAATACAGAAAACACAGACTTACCCTTGGCCCAATGTCTCCTTGGTCACCCTGGAGGAAAAACAGGAAAATAACAATTGTCAGCAGTTATTAGCCCTGTATATGTGCAGCAGACCAGTTATCCAAAAGAGCTCAGCTACTGTGGAGCAGCGATGACAGACAGGCTTAAAATGGAAGATTTGGTTTTGGGAAGGAAGTGGTTCAAAGGTCATCTGTCTCCTAAACAGCTCAGCGTTTTGACATTTATTGTATAAATCATTTGGTAGGCCATAAATCACCTGACAGCACAATATCAATGAAGTCGAAATGCGGAGTGCACATGCTGAACACAGCTGATTTCTGATCAACTTTTTGGAGTTCATGTTCTCATCACAGGGCTACTAGCATGATTACATGAAGTGAGCCAATTTTCCGAACCTCAGCTTCATCTGTCAGATGCAATCGCCTCATTAATCAGGCTGATTCCCGCTCTGACAGATGCACTTTAATGCAGTCGCGTTGCCCTCCTGATTCTGCTGAAACGCAGTCTCGAACATATACACACAACCAACCAGCAGCGTGGAGAGAAACGACCACACGACGAGGCTGCTCTTGCCAGCACTTACAGCTCTTACGGTTGCTAAGATCTTAGGCTGGGCAGAGGTTCACAGAGCGGGAAAACATCTGGCTATCATCGAGCTTTGCGGAAGGCCTGTAAACCTGCTTAGTACCTTGACGTGAGAATGTGCAGAGACACATGAGCTCCCGCATAGCTAAATGTAATCTACGGCTCTTTTGATGGACACGCAGCGAACACTCAAACGTGGGAGGTTGTCCGAGCACCTTCTGTCCATAAATAAATGTTCGAAATACACTCGTACAGTGCATTGACTTGTCTAGAAAGGCTTTTGAAATCCATATTGAAGCATACCTTTTCTCCCTTGGGTCCGGATGGTCCCTGTGGGAGGAGGGGGGAGAAAATCAGAGACACTTGGTCAAGATAAATCAGTTATCACACATCACACGCATCTTCAATAGCCCTTCAGAAGGGAGCTTTCAATCAAACAGTAAGACAAAGCAGTTATTCTGCTTAATGGATTCATGGCATTGAGACCGCTCAATCCAAACATCACTTTTGTCTGAGTGTATTTCACAGTAAGAATACCAAATGACTCAAGCTTGTCCCAAGAATCCCTTTTAAGAGTGCTCTTTGAGAGATAAAAGTTTTCTCAGAGATAAAACCTTTGTTCCTCCATCAGTGACTCTTCGGAGCTCTTGAGATGTTTTAGATGAGGAATGCTGAAACGCTAACTAAAAACACGGGGTATCAAACATCCCTGTGCGATCCTACACTGGTGCACGGTCCCGCTTTGTGACAGCTTCAAATCCTCATGAGCTCTATGTATGAGGCAGGGCCTTTGTCCATTTCTGTGGTGAGCCATGTCTCAGTATGCTGCTGCTGCTGGTGGTGGTGGTAAGGAGCATAAGGATGCCAAATGTGAAAGCACAAGCAGCAAACTCACTGCAGGCCCTCTGCGACTGTGACAGGCAGAAGAATAAGAGGTGGAAAGCATCCACCGTCCATCTGTGACAACAATGGACAGATCATACCTCTTAAAGCCAAGTCACCACTTAGGTTAGACCCTTCGCACTCAACTTGTCCCCTCTGTCTGCCGTTTCTCAGTCCCCTGGTTCCAAATCTGCCTTGAACCTTTTGAAGGCTTTCCTTCTATTTTGTACCTTCTTCCATAACTTCTTTTGTCTGGCGACAGTTTTATCTTAGAGCTATAAACGCGTTCAAGAGTACAACAGCGAAGACGACAAGCAGTGTGTCAATGTGACTATCTACGCGATGACAGACAGAGCTTATCTCCCGTGCTGCTCGCTCTTCCGAGCGGAAGAAAGCCTTTAACTCAGAGTCAAGCCGCAAATTGTTCAAACAAGACTAACTTCTTCATTCAAAATGATCTAAAACACAACAAAAAAAATCTGTTGAATTTCAATAAACTGATTTCCCATCTGGTTTAATTTCATTTATTGTGTATTTTATGTGCAGGAATGGCATTTTAAAAGGGGAAATGATAAAAAAAAAATCTTTAGTTTTCCAATTGATTCAAAAAGAAAAAAACCCAAATGCCAGCTCATAAAAACCTCAATCATTAATTTTGGAAACAGAAGTCCCTCAAAGATAAAAAATGTGCTACATGTTTCCCCCCTTTATTATGTTGTTTTCATGCCCCCCACCCTTTGGGTTTGCATGCAACTCTGGTCATGAGTCACGCCTTCTGAGGGTTTTATGCCAGACCCTTGTTGATGGGGAGAAACCTATTAAAGGATACACCCAGCCTCAGGACTCCTTTCACAGGAACAGGAACAGCTTAATGGTATTTGGAGAGCAACAGCTCTCATTATGCTGCGAGGGGGTTTACATTTCAGCTGATGACTTATGCCTCTTGTGGGTGAGCGCTGCGATGTGCTGAAGGAGGGGCGGAGGGGGCACACTAATGACTTTTTAAAGAGTCTCCGTCTGAAGGTTATAAACTAATCTCTTTCTTACTTTCCCAAATGGTGTGTAACCCATTCGCTCTGCTTCACCTGTTTCCATGCTGCACCTGGGCGTGCCTCTGAGTGCACCAGCATTTCAGGCGCGAGTTGATGGATGGGAGTGCAAAGGGGATTTCAACACTCAGCTCAGCTGAGCCCAGACTACCCCCGTGGCTGTGAGCCATTGGGATGACTTAAGAGGTGGAACAGGAAGTAAGATGGCTACCGGGTTTTTCACGCACTTGCAGTGACTCCTCAGGGCGAGTAAAAATGATTGATGAGGTATAGCAAACTCTCACCGGTCTTACAGGACAAATGCAGAGTCCAGCTGGATTTATAATAGGAAAAATCTTTAAATAGGAACTGAATAAATAAAATAAAATAAGAAAGTAAGAATAAGAGGCGTGTGACGATGTACCTGGCTGCCCTTCAGACCTGGTGGACCCTGAGAGAAAAGAAAACAGTTAAAAATCAAACTTGTTTCTTTCATTTTGGGCATACTTGACAAATTTGGCTGAGAATACTCACTGGTTTGCCATCTAAGCCAAGTGGACCCTGTTGGGAAAGAAACAAAGAGAAATTATGACCAACACAAAGTCCCGAGAGCCCTGTCGCCACTGAACCACTTTAGGGGCTTCATTTATAAAAATGACTCAAACAGGAATAAGCAGTCGTTTATAAAAAAAACCTTACTCTGACATGGAAATGTAGTGTAGACTTTAGTGATTTTCCTGTCAGTTATGTAAGAGCTATTGCAATTTTGGACACACATGCCTCCACGCCTGCTGTGAACTTTATGCTTTATGATAGGAATTATCAATAAATTGCCAGACCAAAGGTGTTTTGAATTAAAAGCAGGATGCAGTGTTCTGTAATTCATATATCAAATTAGAGACACGTAACCACGGCTGCTTTTGTGTTGAGACCTTTTTAAAAAAGCCAAACACGCTTTTAGGAGGATGAAATTTTTTGGTGCACAATGATCTCATCTCAGAAGGACTTTGCTTTTCTTTTTCGGTACATGCACTCAAAATAAATAAATAAATAAATAAATAAATTCTTTGCTGTCTTTAATACGAGGCTATAATTTGGAGTAAACTGAAATATATAAAATCAAAAGTTTATTTATTTAAATAATGAATCATTATGGAAAATAATTTTGGTATCAGCCAATCAATAAAAAGTCATTTTTCTAGAATTCATTAAATTGTGAAAGTTTGACATTATAGTTGCACAACAAAATTACACAGAAAATATCTATCTATATATCTCTCTCTGCTAAAGCCTCCTTTGTGCAGGCATTATATAGGTATCTTTTAACAATGAGGGAAAGATGTTATAAAATACAAAATCATGTAGAAAGTATGAGAACTTTTTTATAAATGAAGCCCAAGTAGTAGCGACATGACAGCTTATCTTGTGTTGGGAACATTATATGAATACACACTGGCCCACTGCTTGTTGAGAGTCACATTAAAGCAAAGGCACCTCTCTCGGTAAAGAATTGAAGCCAGAAGAAGGTAAGCTCACACTGTCGTTTTTAAGTGTCGTTTTTGTGCCGATAAAGTTGTAATTAGTAGGCTCTAGAGATTTCACCTTCCCTCAGAGCAATTCCAGCAATTTCCCCTTGTTTGCCGTGTTTATGCTAATTAAACTAAGCCAGGCACTTTTGTCTGGAGCTTATGTTTAACCTGCAGACATGAGAATGGTATCAATCTTTTCATTAGACTCTCAACAAGAAAGAAAATAGGCTTATTTAAAAAAAAGAAGAAGAAGAAAAAAGTGCTCCTTTAATTACTGGTTTAATAAGGCATAATGAGCCAATAATTATACTTGCAGGTCACCCGACCGAGTCTGCTGTGAATAAAGTATTACTTCAAAACACTGAAGTCACTATTTGTTTTCAGTCCACGGACAAGACAACCTTTCCTCGGCAAGATACCCTACACCAGCTGTTACTTATTAGTATTTCAGAATGTTTTAGTCTTGTCTCCATATCGCTTATGAAAAAATGTAAATTGTGTTAGTGTTGGAAAAAGCAATTAAGTGGATTTGTAGAGGCAAACATTTCAAGAGAGGACAGCAAAAATAACCGAAACTTCAGAGTGAAAAAGTAGGAAAAAGAAGGTTTTTCATTATTGTATTTAAGTAAATGTGTAGGTCTATGTATATCCTGCCCAGTGTGTGTGTGTGTGTGTGTGTGTGTAACAAGTAACATTCAGATAAAGGCTCCCAGGCTATGTGCTGTATAATTATATTACTTGAGTGGACTTGTTCCAGTTGCATCAATTTGACACACACCCCCACATCTCCTGTGTGTGTGTGTGTTTGTGGTGCTTAGATTAAACAACAGGCAGTTAAGAAAGTCTATTCATCCACTCTCCAGCACTGAAGCAGCAGTTGGAGATGTCCACTTTGTTTACCTCGATAAAAACAACTAACAAGCAGTCACTGAACTTCCTCTATGCTCAGTTCAAAGGCGCTCAAATCTTTGGATTACTTAAACATGAAGGAAGAGCCGGCTCTTGGATCAAACTTTCCTGACAAACACTTATATGTGATGTATGTGGTAAGGGCTAACGTTGACTTCCTGCCGCCTTCCTTCTTAACAACCCTACTCTATGTTAAGCTAACTGTTTTTACAGGGTCCCTTAAGTACTGGCTTGCTGTTCACAGTCCTGGTGGCTTTCCAGGGTGGAAACCATCATTAACAATAATCACTTCTGGCCTTGGATGGCGCACACAAGTCTTGGCTTTTTTCATGATCTCCTGATTTACCAGCCCCACGGATGCAACCCTACCACAGTCTCATCTTGGCCTGCTTTGCTGGATGGGCAGTAGGTACAGAGAGGGAGCGATACGTGAAGCTGCTCTCGTTACCCGCTCATCTGATCATTTACTGCTTTGCTTTTGCCTCATAATTTGCCAGCGTGGCTACAGACTGCTGTCAAACTTGAAAGCAGCCTGTAAAAGAGATTTATAAAAAAGCATAAAAAGTGCTTCTTTACAGAATGTCTTTTTGATTAAGGAACCCTTGTGAAGTCAGCAGTAGGTAGCCGAGACCAGGGTGGAACAAATGACTGGGACCAATTGGACGGCAATAATTTCACAGCACAGGACAGGCTGGATGTCCATCGCTCTATTAAAAACAACATCCTGAGTTTCCCATGAGAATTTCAAATGTCCCTCTGAGTTTTCCGAGGCTACATCCCTACATGCACACTAAGCTCTACCATGTATACATACATCTATGCAGGGACATCTCTGCATCTGGGAGCGTTTATGGGGGTCTGGCTCCTTCAAGACTCGTCAGGATGAGCAGGAGAGGTGAACAATGCGAGGTCAGCGGCTGCTGCACAATCTAAAAGGGACTGATTTATGGCCGCTAACAAGCGACAAAGAGCCTTATGAATTGTGGGTACAACTGCTGCTTGGGTCTTTTTCTTTGCGACGAGATGTGTATGAAAAGTTTATTTTCAGTAATAAAACCCTGTACCTAATGTCTGACATCGGACTGCTTGCATTAATAAGTAGTAGCATAGAATTTCTACTAACTTGAGGAATTGCTAGAGCTGCCTGAAGCAATATTTCATGCAACGAGCAGTGGAGAGAGCTCTGGTATGTCTGGTAATAAAATACTTTAAAATATACAAGCGTCATTAAATCAGCAATAGAAATAAGAGTCGGTGTTCACTGAAAACCAATGACAAAATGGGTTTAAATAACTATGAAACAAACAAAATCAAAGGGAGTTAGGTACCTTATCTATTGTCTTTTAAAAAAATATATATAATAGCTTAACTTTAAAACACTCTGCAAGGCATGAAATGTGTGCTGGAATTCAAATAAAACTAGGCTGAACTAAAAAAACATGAGCGATGTGGTGGGTTTCAGAGTGTTAGGGTGAGGGGCTGCTGCTAAATTTCTGCATCTCAAACCACAAACGGATCAGGCTGGAGAAGAAAGGGAGGGAAGGATGGAGGGTAAAAGAACACAAAAGGCAAAAAAAAATAAAAAATAGGAGATTAATGTTTAGAAAAAGTGGGAAAAAGAGCTGGAGATTACCGCCAAAACCTCAAGTAAATGTGGGAGAAAACAAAATAAAGAACCACACTCGCATAAAAAGAACTCGTATTTCTAGTCTGCAGCGCCACATTATCCTGCAGCATCCCTCAGCAGGTAAAACAACAAAAAAAACAGCTTTGACTCACATTCCCATCAATTAGAAGGCTGTTAAACAGATCTCTGGGAAATAACATGGCCTGCAGGAGGGCACATGTCTGTGTTTGCTTATGTGTGAATGCGCGCGTTGATTCAGGCGTGTGTCTGTTTGCATGCGCTCGTCTCTTAATCCCGGTGAAAGAAGCCGCAGGCTGTTTTAGCTGCCTTTACTGTACTCCCTATGGCGCAGACTGCTAATTATCCACGAGGGTGTGATTGTCGAGGATGCAGCATGAAAAGCTGGTGTCTGCACATCAGAGCCGGCGTCTCAGCGAGAATCGCACGCTGCTTATGCTGCAAACTGCAGGCTCGACAAACTTTTATGGCATTAAGGTGAAGGTGAGATAGTGAGAGAGCGCTTTCCTCTTTCTCTTCCTGGGATATGATTAATTGTTTCCTCTTGAGGCTGCCCATGAAAACCTTTGTTTAATGTCACCACAGGGACAGAAATCGGTGTTAGCTCTACGTGTGCGCAATTTGTGATACACGGCTCTTAGAAATAGTCAGTGGCTACAAGCAGAACCAAAGCGCACAATAAAGCATACCAGAGTGCTGTTTGTTTGGGACAGAAAATTGCCAACATGTTGCCGGGTGCCCGTCAGGCTTTGATCTGCGCCCTGCAGCCTTGAAGGCTGAACAATGGCGAGCCTGGGCCCTTCTCGCTGATTGAGGTCCGCTGTCTGTCTCAGTGTTGCACTCGCGAATAAACACACTTGTGGCTGGGCATGCTGCACATGTGAAAAGGAGTCAGTTGGTGTGTGTGGGTGTGTGTTTACCCCTCTGCCCTGCTGTCAGCCTGCCTGACTGTGATTATTTGACAGGGGGAAGACTCTTTTCTGAATCTCGCCTTGGCTGTGATTTATGAGAGGAAGAAGTGGCAAGGGTTACATGAGGGGAGAAAACATACATGAGCACGCACATCATAGTGTTATGCTTGAGAGACACGCAAACCGCATTTCATTAACACTGTTTATCATACAACTGATGATTCTCTGGAAGTGGGCTGCTGCAGTCTGATGAATTCAACATGTGTATGCCACCTAAATGAAGTGCAGCTCATGTGCACTCACACTGCACACATGCATGCAGTTTCTTTAACAGGTCTTCAGTGGTGGATGAAGGGATCCAATGTTTTTTCTACCAGTATATATTTTTTAAATTCCAATATTTTAAAGTTGCAATTACAACTTGGATTCAGGATCAATTCCCATCTGTGGAACAGAGGACTTGATCTTCACTCTTGCAGAACTTCTGGATAATTCACAGAGGTTTGAACGTTGAAGCTAGGTGTGTTTTGGTGGCTTGGAGAATGGTTATGACCAGGTCCCCCGGGA